TGGACAGTCATGCCATTACTGTTGACTTGTGTGCCACCCACTCAGAGGCAGAAGGCTCTCTGAGCCAATTTCGAGAAACTAGTCAGAAAAGAGTTTCTAAACTCACAAAACAAACTACTTGGAGTTTTCCTGTGAATATTTCAAAGCAGCATGTTGACATATAGGAAAGATAGGTGAAGATGAATGTCAACCTGAATTAAGTCATTTGACTATAATTGAAAGGTGAAATCATTTGGCATTTATGAATACGTCTTATTTTACCACAGTCAGAGACAGAGAGAGATGCATTAATACATTGATCACTTAGGACAGTTTATCCAAAAAGAGTGCTACAAATGATCCCATTTCAAAATAAATAAGTAAATTCAAGTTAAAATCTGGTACATAACCTTAATATGATTGTATTTTTATTCTCATGTTTAAAATACACCTCTGTGAAAAAAAACTAACATCCTGCAATGTTTTCCTACTACTTAAACATCCTTTTTTGAATAATATATGAACTGTGAATATATTAATTTCAAAATAACTGTAGCAATGTATTGGCTTAAGTTATCTTTTGGGCAACTCCTCACATTAACTGAGATAAAATTCTAGTTTCATCCATGGTCTTGGTGCTTAAATTCAGGTCTACAAAAATAAAATGACCTACATAGAATTCTTGGCCAACACTGGGGAAAGGATTTTGTCTCTGCTGCTCTTCAAAATGGGATGCCTAGTAATCAAAACAATTCAAGCAGAGTTATGAGACAACAGGCACAAAGGCATGTTCATACCCATGCAGGATCAAACTCCTTAGGACCCTCTTTCAAAAGTTAAATTACCCAGTCTATTCTCTTATGCATGTTGAGAACACAGTCTGCTCTGACTCAGAGAAAAGTGAGATGTCTGATAATCCGAAGACATTCAAGCAGAGTTGGCCAGGCGTGGTGGCTCATGTCTGTAATCCCAGCACTTTGGGAGGCCGAGGCAGGAGGATCACGAGGTCAGGAGTTTGAGACCAGCCTGACCAACATGGTAAAACTCCGACTCTACTAAAAGTACAAAATTTAGCCAGGCG